GCCTCATCAAGGCCAAAAAACGGGGTTACTGGCGGCAGTTTGTAGACGGATTGTCGCGCGAAACGTCTATGAATACGCTTTGGAGTACGGCGCGAAGAATGCGTAACCGGTCTACTAACAACGAAAGCGAGGAATGCTCGAATCAATGGATTCTTAAATTCGCGCGAAAAGTGTGTCCGGATTCCGTGCCGTCGCAGTTGATTCCTCGCGAAACCGCGAATTCGGTAGACGAAATCAGTCAGCCTTTTTCAATGGTGGAACTTTCACTCGCTCTCCTTTCGTGTGGCAATTCTGCCCCGGGATCTGATAGAATCAAGTTCAACTTGCTGAAAAACCTCCCAGACGTCGCTAAGAGGCGCATGTTGAACTTGTACAATCAGTTCTTGGAGCTCAATATTGTTCCCGACGATTGGAGACGAGTAAGGGTGATAGCCATTAAAAAGCCTGATAAACCCGCGTCGGATCACAATTCGTATCGGCCCATCGCGATGCTGTCGTGTATTCGGAAATTGATGGAGAAAATGATCCTTTTTCGCCTCGACAAATGGGTTGAGACGAACCACCTTCTTTCAGATACTCAATTTGGTTTCCGTAGGGGTAAGGGAACGAACGACTGTCTCGCGTTGCTTTCCTCGGAAATTCAGTTGGCTTTTGCTAAGAAAGAGCAAATGGCTTCTGTGTTCTTGGATATCAAGGGGGCTTTTGATTCAGTATCCGTTGAAGTTCTTTCAGAGAAACTCCACGCTTGTGGATTGTCTCCATTAATGAATAATTTTTTGTACAATTTGCTGTCAGAAAAACATATGAGCTTTTCTCATGGAAACTCTACAGCTTTTCGATTTAGCTACATGGGTCTCCCCCAAGGCTCATGTTTAAGCCCCCTTTTGTACAATTTCTACGTTAGAGAAATTGATGTCTGTCTTAGTGACAATTGCACGTTGAGACAACTTGCAGATGACGGCGTAGTGTCTATCACAGGGCCAAAAGAGGTTGACCTGCAAGGACCCTTACAGGATACCTTGGACAATTTGTCTACTTGGGCTATTCAGCTAGGTATCGAATTCTCCACGGAGAAAACTGAGTTGGTCGTTTTTTCTAGGAAGCATAGCCCAGCACAACCGAAGCTTCAACTTTTGGGTAAACCGATCACTCATTCCATGTCTTTTAAATATCTCGGGGTCTGGTTCGATTCCAAATGCACCTGGAGATCCCACATTGAGTATCTGAGACGAAAATGCCAACTAAGGATCAATTTCCTTCGATCAATTACCGGAACGTGGTGGGGAGCCCATCCACAAGATCTTCTGACGTTGTACCGGACAACGATTTTATCGGTTTTAGAGTACGGTAGTTTTTGCTTTCAGTCGGCAGCTAAAACGCACATCATCAAGCTGGAACGGATCCAGTATCGTTGTCTTCGTATCGCGTTAGGATGCATGCACTCGACTCATACTATGAGTCTCGAAGTGCTGGCGGGCATGTTGCCACTATCCGTCCGTTTTTCAGAGTTATCTCTTAGGCTCCTCACCCGTTGCGAAGTAATGAACCCACTGGTGATCGAAAATTTTGAGAAGCTTCTGGAGCTAAATCCTCAAACATGTTTTATGACTTTGTACTACCTATATTTAACACAGGATGTCAGCCCTTCAAGAAATATTCCCAATCGTGTAGTCTTCTCCGATTTCGGCAATTCAGTGAATTTTGATTTATCTATGACGCAGGAAATCCGCGGAATTCCAGAGCATCATCGTCCTATGATTGCTCCGTCATTATACGCTGCAAAGTTTGGCCATGTTGATTCTGCAAGAACGTTTTTCACAGATGGATCTCTAATAGAGGAGTCCGCTGGTTTTGGTGTATTTAATGAATTTCATAGCGCCTCTCGAAAACTTGAAGCTCCTTGTTCTGTGTATGTGGCTGAACTGGCAGCAATTCACTACACTTTGGAAACTATTGCTTCACTTCTTCCAGACCACTACTTTATTTTTACGGATAGTCTCAGTTCTGTCGAGGCTATCCGTTCCATTAGGCCGGTAAAGCACTTCTCGTATTTTCTCTTGAAAATACGAGAACTGCTTAGTACTTTATCCGTGCGCTCTTTCATCATCACCTTCGCGTGGGTCCCTTCGCATTGCTCAATTTTGGGCAATGAGAAGGCGGATTCACTTGCGAAGGTGGGCGCTATGGAAGGCGACATTTATGATCGACAGATCGCCTATAGTGAATTTTTCTCTATTTATCGTCAGCAGTCGCTCGTTAGCTGGCAACATCAATGGAGTGAAGGGAGCTTGGGACGATGGCTACATTCAATTATCCCTAAGGTGTCGAAGTTTGCATGGTTCAAAGGGTTGGACTTGAGTCGAGACTTCATACGCGTGATGTCTCGTCTCATGTCCAATCACTATTGTCTAAACGCTCACTTGTTCCGTGTGGGGTTGGGAGACAGCAATCTCTGTGAATGTGGACAAGGTTACCAGGACGCTGATCACATCCTTTGGTCTTGTGCGGAGTATCGTGGAGTCAGATCACATTTTTATGATTCCCTTCGGGCTCGAGGTAGACAACCTAATGTTCCAGTTCGGGATATTTTGGCTAGACGCGATCTGGAGTTTATGAAACTCATATATGTTTACTTTAAGGATATTAACCTTAGATTATAAGTTTGATTAACCTTGCTTAGTTTTTAGAGATGAACTAGCCTAAGGCTAAAAATCTCTTAAATAAAGAATTAAAAAAAAAAAAAACCTTGCTTAGTTTGTATTTTGTACGTGTGGGTTTTTTTTTTCAATGTTTGTTTTCAAGATGAATAGAAATAATTTCATGCTTTAGGATTAATTAAATAGTTGTATCGTAAACCACATTTCAAACCTCCTTCTTCCCTTTTCCCATCCAAAAAATTGTAAATCTCCACTAACCTCGAGACAACCGCGAGTACTCGGTCCAGTTCCTTTAACTTTAAATTTAAGACAGTAATAATGTATAACGCAAAGGATAACTCGGCTCTGTAAAGTTTATTCGATTGAGCCTGTACAAATAAAGTAATTATAAAAAAATAAAAAAAAATCTGAAAATTCTGGCTCTTCATAATCTACGATTTTGAGAGGTTTTAGACCCTTCGCATAGACAATCGTCCATACATTTTTTTTTTAAATATATATGAACCATACACACATAGATTAGGTAGGGGAAAAATCTACTCCAGCTTAATCGCCCATTCCCGGCCTATCGAGCACAAAACATTAAATATATCTATGATTTCTGCGTAAACGTGTCAAATAGGCGTTTGGTACGATGCTTCTATCCAATAGGTGTAAGACGAAGGGTTGAAGAACGCAAAATAAGATCTCGAAAACAAAAGGCGCAATTGAAGTGTACAAAAGGCGCACGCGAATTAACTTTTCTTTCCGTTCGATAGGCCAAAAAGAATCCCAATAGCGTTTCAATTGCTAATAGGCACAAGAAAACCCGTAGGGCAAGTTGAGCCGCCAGAAGCAATTTTTCCTTTTTTAACAATAAACGAATATTTCGCGACGCCTTATCAGAACTAACGGTACATATGGAAAGGTAAATAAATTTGGAAGCCATCTGTAATAATAATATACCGTGTGGTGCTAAACTACACTAGATTAAGAAGAACTAAGTACGGGTTGTGCTTAATAGGCCGGGAATGGGGTATTTAACCCTACTCCAGTTGATCTCGTTTTGGATGGATTAACTGTAAAAACCGAGAGCAAAATTTTACTCTGTTGAATCAAACGGAAAACTAATCCTGCTTTTAATTAACTCAATTTGATTACAGATTTTGCATTCATAATACATATTTAACTGAACTTGCAGTGCTCGTTAACATCAACAAAGTTGCTTTCATTTAAAAAAAAAACTCTTGGCTGCATAATGAAAGCTTAATGTGACATCAGATTTATGCCGCGACAGCTGAAATCAAAAAAGTTTTAATTATGATAGGAACAGCAAACTTTATTATCAATTTGATTTTATTTTGTTAACCGGTTTTGCTGGATCTCAGGGAAAAACTTGCCGAGATTTAGCTAACATGCGAGAATTTCGCTGAGATCGTAGCTAACAACCAGAAATGTTACTGAAATATCAGTAGAAATAAATGCTAACCTGGTCGGCGGTGCCAATCTCGGCAAAAAAAAACGAAGTGTATAGACACTCGCTGGTAGACAACACACCATTAAATAGTCAATACTTATTCAAGCTTCTCCGTGTGCTCATTATTCTCATCCATATTTATTTTTGAGAATTCAACTGAGCAACTTTTGGCAAAAAATTAAAATACTTGAACCTTTTTATATAGATTCAATAATATTATACTGTATTATTTTTTTTTTACTTTTTTTTCAAAAAAAAACATTAACGAGATGTTTAGCCATTTAGGAACATTTTTGTATCTCTAAACAACGAAAATACTTCTGAGAAGGAAAGGGTTAAGGTACACAAGAAGAAAAACTCTGAGGAGAGTACGAAAAAATGGGACTTCATAATGAGTACTTCACCATTCCTTTGTTTTGATTAAAAAAAAAAAACTATTTTTATGGACTTGGTCCATCTGATAATTTTGCATAGGTACGGACTGGTAAACAGAGTTGAATTGATCATCTATTAGTTAGTATCACTAAGGTTTCTCATTGTTTTCTTTAGATATATTTGTATGTCGAATGATTCAATGGCATTCTTACACCTTGTTCGAGCCGTTGTTACAATTAATTTACATCGAGTAATCACCATTGCAATTGCATTGACACAATATTTGTTTACAAAATTCTACTGCTTTTGTCCCAAATGTTTAAATCTTCCCAGCTTAAAAGCAGCCTTAAACAGTAAAGGATTGACTATGGAAAACTTTTTGATGACTCAGCCTTTACAGGATGCAAACTAAACACCCCCAATCAATACTCTTTTATCTCACTAAATTAAGAGATAAGGAAGATTTTGCTGCTTGCTACAATAACTAAGGCTACCTGCGAAGATGTACTCACCTTTATCATCATTGAATGCATGATTGATTTTCCTCAAAGTCGCCCACTTGTCAACAGAAATGTACTACGTGCTATCAAGAATGAACCACCGATTATCAGCTCTACAAAATTAACGACGAGACCATAGGCTGAACGATAATGTTGTAAAACGGATGGTGCTTTTTATTTGACTTGGTACCACTTTTTGTGCTTTCCACTTTTAAATTTTATTCCACTGCACCGTTTATTTATAAGATCACACTTCTTTCTTCACACCTTCTACGATTTATGTGATGAAAAAATATATTTAGAAATATATATTATATTTGCGCAAAATCAGACCACTTGGTGCGTTGTAACAGTTACACGTAATTAATCTGTATAACGATCCAGTTTTTGAACGGATACAAGCCTTGAAATGCTTCCTTGTTATCGATTAAGAATCGCAAAATCTACAACGAGAATGGCACAAACCGAAAACGTGCAAAAAGTCTGCTTTAACATCAAAACCTGTGCAATATTGACAAAAAGAATAACGAAGTGCTAATGACGACTACCTCAAGCTGACTGAGTCGAACAACGTCAACGTCTCGTATGATACTGCTTCGGGTTCGGACGGATGGCGCTATACCACCACTACTTAGCTATACATATACATACGATTAAAATCATGAACCATCATAGGCAGTAGTCATAATGTAAAATGCACGAGGTAGATGAATCACGGAGAAAACGGATTTCCCTCCGAGTTCATGTATTGGTGTTAAGTCTGGTCGAGTTGGCCCCCAAAACGAAAACAAGTGCTGGCAGTAACCATCTAGACGGTTCCTAGGAGCTTCACCAATAAATAACCATAATAAAACCATCTCGAGGCGGATCGACCATCGTCATATACCACGTTCAGACTAGACTAGGGTGTATGTAGAGTGATGATTTTTTATTATGTTGAAATAGGAACAGCCGATTATCTGTTACCGGCTTGGAAAAAGTCATTGCGATCGAGCCAAAGACCTCTGTCATATAGCTGACATGTTGTTACTCTAGTTTAGACTATAGTCGCTATATTTATGTAGGGGAAATGACGGCTTCGGCATGACAGACTATTTTCGGCAACCCAAATTGAAACACTATTTTCACTGGATTTTCTTACGAAAACACTTCGCTGAATGCATGCAAACGATTCTTTATGCTTTCAGCTTCAATTTGACTATATTTTTACCACTGAGAAAAAGCAATCTAGCAAGGTTTTCTTGAAATGAAACACACGCACTACAAATTGTAGCTGATTTCGAGTTGCCGATAATAGAACAGCAGATTTACATGCAGTTCAAATGGAACGGTTGCCGAAGAAAAACTGGTTGCCGACAATACTCGCTCTCACTAGAGAAGATTGGAGCTTTGTAAAGCGTTTCAAAACAGTTTTTGACAATTCTTTCGACTGAAATTGTTAGAGCAGCTGGCAGCAAAAGATTGTAAACAAACCAATACTGCATATGTGTGCGTTCCTTAGAGAAAAAGGCTATAGAAAGAAGGTCGCTGCTTAGGTTGCCGAGAATACGTAAATTCCCCTATAAAAATAGTGACTATAGTCTAGACTATATAGCTAGGGTACAGGTGTTCCAGTAATACGGTGGGCCCCGGTAATCTGATCGTTTTTAATCTGAACGCTTTTTAATTTGAACTCCGCTAATCTGCATGCCGTCATTTTTTTCATGAATGGGCTAAAACGAAAAGGAACATTGTGGAACGGAAAGCAGAAGCAAAACAAAACATCAAATAAAGCTGCCAGAAAACATTGGCGTAGCTAATGGGAGAGATTAGAATGCCTGCCCCCTCCAGAATGATCCAGGCTGCCTTCAGACTTTTTTTAGATTCTCATACCGACAATCTAAAATATATAAATCTTCAAAAAATTCTGGAAGGGGCCTAGATCATTCTAGAGGGGCCAGGCACCCTAGGCACCCCCATTCCCTTATAAACAAATACCATAAGCGAACTGTATCCCGGGTGGGTAAACTACACGAAACGAAAATCAATTATTTTATTCATGTGTTTCACTTATACATTTTTGCCAAACTTCTTCATTAACTTTTTGCAAGGCGTCTGCTTATTAGTTGACTTATACATTTTATGAATAATCAGTAATAGATTTTTGCCAAAAGGTATAAGGAGATTTCTATCCGTGTATCCCACAAATAGTTTTGATGATACCCCAAACACGTCGTTAAGCTCTCTTTTATTGTTATTTTTATTAGGGCTAGCTACACTAATACCAGAAACACGCTTTTCTGATGCTTATAGGGTTACTAGAAGCTCATATTATATATGAACCCCGTTTATATGAATGTCGTTTAAAATAACGGGGGTCCACGGTAGTGGTGTACCCTAGGGGCACGCAATAACCTTTAACTCCAACGCAGGCAACGGCTGTAATTAAATTAATTCCATCCACTACTGCTTTAATTACATTAATTACACAATATAGAACATTAACTAATTCTTAACTCCATTAATTGTTGAAATTTCGTAATTAAAGTACATTAATTACATTTTCAATACTTTTAATTACATTAATTACGGATAGATAATTTTAATTACTGTCAGTACTACTTCAAAACGCATTAATTACTTTAAATACTTTTGATTGCATTTTAAAATCAACGCACCGGTTCTTTGTATTGCGTGCCCCTCGGGTGTACCTATAGTTGCAGTATGGGGCTACGCCGGCATAATGATGGGAATAGTGATGGGGCCTCGGAATTGACGCGAGTGATGCGCCAGACCCTAAGCGGATCATGCCGAAATGTTGATGGCTGGTTGGCCGCCGAAACTTGAAGAAGTTGTTCGAAGCGCTCAAACCAGCGTTTCAGCTGGTCAGTGGGGTCGGTAAGCAACTGTCCAATCGATTCTTTCCTCGGGTTCATCCTTGATCCACTCAGGCGTCGTAAGAGGAGGTGTATATCGTCAGTGTTTGCGGCTTTCTCCCCTTCGTTGGCCAGGGAGTTGACACACGCTCGCTTGTCCCGTCTACAAGAGCGCTTGACTTTCTTTTCTAGAGCCGAGTACCGTTGACGGGCTTCGTTCTTGGCTCTTCTGGTTCTCACCCGCTCTGTCACGGCTTTTACTTCTCTACGCTCCTCAATCTTCCGCCAGGTTTCATCAGTGATCCATTATTTCCACTGGGTGCGCAGCTCACCCAGGTTGCTCTCGCTTGTTTCTATAAAGGCATTCTTGATGGCCGTCCATTGTTCTTCTACGCTTCCACCTTCTGGAACGTCCGCAGCTCGAGTCTCAAGTTCTTCAACGAAAGACCTTTTTACCGCTGGATCTTCAAGTCAGCGTGTGTTGAACCGCCGCCCGAGTCTCTCCTCCCGTCGCTGGATCTGCGCAATGCGTAGGCGGATCTCGACGATTAGAAGGTGATGGTCAGACGCGATATCAGCGCCGCGTTTATTTCGGACATCAAGAAGGCTCCGTCTCCATTTTCGGCTGATGCAGATATGGTCGATCTGATTTTCGGTATGTCCATCATGGGACACCCACGTGACTTTGTGCACTGGCCGATGGGGGAAATACTGCAAACAGCTCACCCTTTCGCTCATTTTGCTGAGACCATAGCGTCCCATGACACGCTCATAGTCCGTGTTGTCGGAACCGATTTTTGCATTGGAGTCGCCAGTGTAGATCTTGATGTCACCCTTTGGAACCTTATCCACGACGGCATTCAGTTGCCTGTAAAAATTCTCCTTGTCCTGCAGCATCGGTTGACGCATAACATTGGATTATGGTAAGGTTACGAACCCGTGTTCTAAATCTGGCAACGACTATCCTCTCATTAATAGGCGGGGAGGGTTTTCACCTCGAATACCAGAGTTTAGTAGTACCTGTCCCGACGGCAGTTTGTGTTCTCCAAAGTATGGTCAACGAACTTCACTCAGTCTCAGGATTTCTAGCTTCATGCGTCGCGCCTCGTTGGCGAGTTGTGCCAGTTTACATCAAATAAAGCTGCCAGAAAACATTGGCGTAGCTCTAGGCGCCTGATACATAAGTGACACAGAAGAAGAAGTGTTAGTTTGTTTACTAAAATGAACTATGCCCATTTTGTTATGGCAAGTTTTGCTATAAGAAATGCTCCTCGTGTTTATTAGCGAAATTCACATCAAATATTGATTAATTGCGTAGGAAAACAGTTTGGCACGGCATTTGTGACCAGCATACACCTTCCGGTCGTATGAAACAGATCAAAAACTGTCCAAATCCGCCCATAAAAATGTTTGTTTTGAATTTCTGTATGGCAAAATAGTGAACTTTTCGTGAACATTAACGGCAAAGAACTCACCAACACTGGGAGACCGTGAGTTCCTGCCCAACTGTCATAAAAACATCTCGAGCGTAGCTAATGGGGGAGATTAGAATGCCTGCCCCCTCCAGAATGATGTTAGAGATGAACTAGCCTAAGGCTAAAAATCTCTTTAATAAAGCTTTGAAAAAAAACCCTCCAGAATGATCCAGGCTGCCTCCAGACTTTTTTTTAGATTCTCCTGCTGGGCTAACGTCAATACATTCCATGATCCAATTCGTGTCCGTTGTTTTGCGCTAAAAGTCGTTGCCGTTAAATCAGTTCGATGTCTTTCTCTGTTGGTTTCTTGAACAGTAGGTGGTTAGCCTAAGGTCTCCTAACCGCCGTGTTGGGGCGACCATCTTAGGTGTAGCTTCCGGGGAAGAGTATTTCTTATTCAGCCGCTGGATGCCAGTCAGACGCTGTTTGAGCCACACCTCCATGGTGAACAGACGCTCGGGTTGGCGAAGCATTTCCTCTATCGCTGTGCTAAGGTTACCGCGCCAGTGTTCGCGTCGCACCTCCTCACTCTGCTATTGTCGGATTGACAACATTGCCCAGGCTACGCCAACCAGCTGTGTCCATGTTTCAGCTGGCAGTCTTTTTTATGATCATTTGACTTCAGCTCTTCAGAAAAAATCCTAACCAACCTGTAATCTTGAACAAATATCTAAACCTTCAAGAAGTCATCAGGATATTTGTTGAAGACTTCAGCTTGATCATGTTTCATTTTAAAGATCATCATCTGCCAAACAATTCAAATCACAATTCGTAGATATTCTTTCAAATAGCAGTTTGCTTAGAAATTATTTTGAAGACCTTCTGGTTATCATAATTTCCAAAAACTCCTCAAGGTATTTGTTTAAGACTACAGCTTGATCAGGGTTCAACTGCTCAACAGTTGAACTTACGTCTCCCAGTTATTCTATCAAATACCAAATTGCTCTGAAATTAATCTAAATATCTCCAGGTGATCATAGATCCAGACCGATTTGGTCAGTTGGCCACAAAGAATGTTCCCGGTCCAGATCCTAAAAGTGAAAGGTGTGATTAATAAATTGGTTGACGTATGACGTATGACGATGACAGTCGAACCATTGAACCCTGTTTTCAAGGCATCCGGGAAATCCGAGACGGAATCCACACCAGTATCCGAGACGCTCTAATTAATGACCCGTCAATGGAAGCAACATTAATATGCTTCATAA